ACGTTTTCGTTTCTTTCTCCCAGTCCATGTCGTCCCATGATGTCTTCATATCCAGTGTTGTCCATTCCAACCTTGGCATTCAGGTCTCCCACAAGAATCGTCAAATCCTTTTGTGAACATTTCTCGACGATTGACTGCAGCCTTTCGTAGAATTGATCTTTAACGTCGTCATTGTAGTCATTGGTAGTTGCATAACATTGGATGACGTTCATTGTCATGTCCTGTTTCTTTGTTTTGAAGGATGCTTTAATGATCCTGGGTCCATGAGATTCCCATCCTATCAGTTCCTTTTGTGCATGTTTGGACAGCATCAGTGCAACTCCTTGTGTATGTGAAGCATATTCCTCTTCATGACCAGAGTATAACAGCAGTTCCCCTGAATCTAGTCTCAGTTGTCCTACTTGTGTCCAATGTGTTTCACTGATTCCAAGCACCTCGAGGTTGTATCTTTTCATTTCTGCCGCAACTTGAAATATTCTTCCAGTCTCCCACAATGTACGAACGTTCCATGTACCTAAAAAATGGTTGCTCTGGTTGTCAGAAGAGGCATCAGCCCCGTGACTTCCGAGGGAACTCGGCTTTCATCACGCGACGTCATAATTCTTCCTCCAACTCCCAGGGCAGAGTTAAAATGGTTTGAATTATTTTTTCTGGTTAGCGTTTTTTTGGCAAGTTAGTTTTTGACGGAATAGGGTCGCCAACCCCATGTCCAACCCTCCTCCTTTACCTGGGCTTGGGACCGGCAGTAGCCCCGAAGGTTCTACTGGCGGAGTTAACATTAATCATATAGTTCATCATTAATGAAATAGTTTATCATGAACATTAATTAAATAGTTCATCAATCCACAATGTGCGTGGCTTTCTTCTCGATTGGCTATCCCAACACTTTCCAGTTTTCTCTAGTTGCTATTCATTATTTTGATACCCGCCCCGAATTTTCGGCGCCATGTGTTCCCCAGTCTTCCTCTTTTCCCTCAGCCCTGAGGATTTCAAGTTAGGGCTTGCCTCGTGGGGCGGTTGGGTGATTTCTTCACTGTGTGTTCGGTTCACTTCCAGAGCTTTTACTTAATTTCCGTCTTAACCGGAGTCTGATTTGTTCTCTTCCAGAGCAGACTTTTGCTGATAGTATCAGGTCAACGGGTCCGCGGCATCTTGCAGAGACAATTGTTAATAAACACCTATATCTTATATATGATGGCTTTCGTGGTTCCCCAAGTTTCCGCTCCATACAATAGAAATGTCTTGACGTTTGCATTGAGAATTCTGACTTCAGTATTGGTTGACAGTAATAACAACAATAACCGTTACAAAGATGTTTCCAATCAGGGTTAATTATTAGCTTCTATGGTTGGCCGAATTACTCCTGACTTAATGGCAATATCAAAGCAATTCATTTAGAATATGAGTACAATAAAATGACTGATAAATTGTAGTCCTTAACATGAGCAACTGAAAGAACTAAACCTACAAATATCTGACTTCCGAAAATGATTTTAAAATCGAACAACATTTGTGATAAAAATAATACTTCTTTTTGAAAGAAATAATTTAGCATTTTTCATTGTATCAGTAATAGCAGATAAGAGTTACTCTTTTGTCGTCACTGTTACTAGGTTGTCTATATTAAGGAAGGAATATGTACTATATGTATAGATACAGATATTTTGAACAATAAATAGTAACACTTAAATAGATTTAAACAGACATACTTGTAAATGGAAAATTCTTTAAATTTTAATTTTACCAAAAAAAAGTTAAATATTATTTGAGTATCAGGTGTATACGATAGTCACTGCTGACTAGATACTATTTTTTTCATAAATTGTTATTGCCGTTAAAAGTAGAACAAATAGTTGAGAATTAATGGAGTGACTATAGTTATTTTTTTTATTTTACAAGATTAGCCCATAATTATTGTCTTCCGATATAATGAAGTGTCTTTTAAACATATAGCAATAAGACTTCCCATCTTGAAAATACATGCTAACGTTGTGTGTGCGTGTGCATGCATGAGTGTATAGCAGATGTAACAAGGGAAGGCAGTAGGAAGGTCATTATTTAATACTGACAAACACTGTAACAGATAAATAGAACCAACACAATAAAGTAGATCAAACATTTTTAAGACATTGTAAACTGAGGAATTTCAAACTTTAATATTAACTTATAACTATTAAACATAGAGATGCTCCGTCTTATTATCGCTGTACCAAAAACAAACTGTTGTAGGTCACTGCGACTTTGTATCAGGTCTTGCAATGTGTCTAAATGACATAAATAATTAATCTTCTATGAAAGTCTTCGGTGAATGAAGAAGTTAATAGTGTACTGGAAATGAAATGGGATTCAGTCATGCAAAGACCAGGATAACTAGAGGTTGTGCAAAGCCAATACAGACTTTTATTAGTCGTTTGGTTAGCGTGTTTTTAGCGAGTTAGATTTTTGTGGGATGGGCTCGCCAACCCCATGCCCAACCCTCCTTTTTTATCCGCGCTTGAGAATGACATTAGCCCCAGAATGGCTCTAGGTGGGGTCTTATCACTACTCACTACAAATCAACTACAATAATTTTATTAAAGTGATTACTGAGGTTTCCCCGAGAAGGGCGAATTGCTTTATTTCTATAAATCAACAACGCGGAAATTTGAACTTTGATAAGTGTAAGAAGTAATTAAAGATACAGGACTCCTAAATTTAAACATACTCTGAGATGTTTTATGTAACAAGTTAACAATCATAAAAAAACATTCTGACTGAGGAAATGATCGGATAACACTATTTTTTGTTTTGTATTAGTAAAACACGACTGCAATTTATGTTTTCAGATTTAACAGTAGTTTCTCAGAATTTGGGATAGTCGGGTTCTTCTAACCAAATCATGAAATTTTAATTTAGCCGAGGTATATAAATACTCATTTTTGGATATCAGATCTGTTCCTACTGGATATAAAAACTAATAGTTTCTATTCAATGAAAAAGGATTTAATTTCACACTTACTAGTTAAAGTTTCTTAATCGATAACGCTAACCGGCATCAAAAATGTTTCGTTTCTGAAAGCCAAATAAACTAAAAGATTTGAAAACTAGAATATTCATCTTGAAACTTGATATTTATGCATTCGGTTAGTAGTAATACTTTTGAATATGTGATGCATAATAAAATTTTATCATGACAGCACCCTTCCTTTGGTTGAAGCAAGTTATTTAAACAAGTCAACCTTACTTGTATGTCATCATTGTGTATCTGGTAACATATCAATCGGAAACAAATTATTACGAAAAATTACATACAGTATTAAATCAGATTTCAGTTAGTAGTTACTCATTGTCAACTGGCACTTTACAGTCTTTATTCCAGATATCCCTTTGATATTTTTATAGGCCTGTATTTTAATATTGTTGATATTAAGGACTTCAAGTGATCAGTCCCTGTCGGTTTATCTAACTTTTAAACGGTCCCAAATACCAATAACAAGAAAACACAGGCTATTTTAAATAAACACCATACTAGTTGAATGAATTACCGATTATCTTCACCACTGTGTTAGCATTTAAAACGAGAAGTATTTGGTTAAAACTACAGTGTGTGTATAAGCACTGAGATCCAGTTACGTCCAGTGGGTGATATTCAGATAAGACGAGGTATATCTCACCAATTCAGTTGCAAGCTACAACTGAACATGATTAATATCTGTTTTGATATTACTGTTAATTTAAGTTACTTACGCTATGGTATACTTTCTGTTTTTCCTTCCAATGTATTTTTTACAGATATCCTGGTATTAGTTTAACAAATTTTACACATTCATGGCGTGATGGTTTAGCATTTCTAGCTATAGCACATCAAATCAGGTATGTTGATTCATGTTAGTAATCATAAAATTATTATTATTGCTACTTCCATGTGAATAAATCAATTAGTTGTTTACTTTTCATTCGCAAAGTATTTTTTTAACAAGAATGTTGATATTTAAATGACCTTTTAGAAACCGAAGATTAACAAAAGTGATTTGTTTACTGTGTTGTAAATATGTCAATATTGTAACAAAAGGAATGTAGAAGAAGCAATAAAGAAGAGAAGTTAGAACGTTCACTTGTGTTCATCAATTCAATAATATCAACTAAAATTCTTTTCCATCATAGATCACATTAACAAACTAAATTTAATGTATGTAAATAGACATTCATCAATTACAACTTTCAAACTGTTTATGAAGGTAATTTTTAGTGGTTGCGTTGAATTTGACGTAGTGTTCACCACTTCAATGGCCTGTGATTTGACTCGGATTTTTACAAACGTTTAAGTATGCTATGAAGTAAATTTTCCCTTCGATTTCCATATATAGTACTTAGGCGAACCCCGTTTGTGCGACGAGGCTATTAAGAAGCCAAATACGGTTTTCGGGTGAGTTTATTTCATCCAATCGTTCGCGCATACAGACATTAGAATACAAAACGTGGAAGCAAAGTGAAGCGAATCGGAGGAGGCGACTCAATGCGCTGAAGTGTGACTAAGTATTGATAGTCAGAAAAAAAGCAATCTAGACATGTGATAAGCGAACTAAGTGGCATACGAACTCGGATAAAAACAACCAAGGTTATTAGCGGATAGTTGATAAGGTCGAAAAGAATGGATTGTCCAAAGGCTGAGATAAGTCCTGTGGGCTCGACACAGAACTACATACTACAACCCTTCGTGGTAAAGTTAATATTAATAATAATAATAGTAATCAGTAAAACTATTTGTCTATTAAGTGTATTCGATTGATATTTAGATGTCAACAAGTAAAATCGTCAATTTCAGTTAGTTAGGTCAGAATGATTTGGAAGTTTATGGTTGCTTCCTTAGTGAATGAAAGCAGTTCATTAAACTAACACAACCTCAATTAGTACAACTTAACGAATGACAATAAAAGAGACTATCAACACATTTGTATTACAACCAGTTATGGGTATTTATTAATGAAGAATTAGGTATGATTTCTTGATATTATCTCGATCAGTAGAAATTCGACGTTTGATGACTTAATGCAAGTCATTTCTTTAGAGTAAATAAATAAATAACCGAAATAAATTAACACAAATTTAACTTTCTACGCTGAGCTCAATTTATTTGAAACTATCCAGTTCAACCTTGGTGTTGATACCTACAAATTGATTTAATGTAACGATACAAAATGTTTACTTGTCACAAGATTATTACTTCGTTTTTATCACTATAACATAATTAGTTAGGTTCAGTTCTTACATACTTTAACTCAGTGCACTGAAATTTTCATTTTCCTTACTTTTCTCTCTATTTTTGTCCCTCGGTTCCCACATTTATCACAATTGTTGACGGTATTAATCACCATAAACTTAAGTCAGGTGAAAAACTATTAAAAATCAAAGTTCACAATCCTCCGTCCAGCAAATGACTTGAACTTCAACAATATATAGTTTACACATTAGACTTGAAACGTGTATACATCACTTGGTTTGCGATAAATTGTAGCAAGTAATGGAAATCACCTTCAATATAATTTAAAGTTTATAGATGTAATGAAATTTAAGCGCTTAGCTGAGTCACCATCATTGTTTTAGGCCAACATTTTGATACACATATGCACAAATTACTAGTTTGTTTTTTGAAAATCTCTGTGCTAGTAATCACTTATTTAGTAGACATTGCAAATAAACAAAACATGCCAACATCCGAAAAAGTAGAAAATGAAGTCAGAACAAATTCAGGTCAACTGGCTTGTGGTTTAAGTTGATAAGTATTTATTAAATACATACGTGATATATTCACTACACACACATTTTTATCGATCGATTTTAATTTGACTAATACAAAGAAAGAACTGTTTGAGTTATCTTGTTCGAAAATACAGTATGTGAATCTAAAAGCGATAAATAAACACAATCTCTAATTTGTGTGTTCGGTCTAATTATAATGAATGAGGTCAATAGAATCGTTTTGAGTTTACTGTTTGAGTGTCAAAAATATTAAATAACTTGAGAATTTAGAAATTTTGACTTTTAAGCTGTTGATGCAAAACCTCTAATAGTGGCAACTTATTATAACACCATAAAACAAATGGTTACATATTTAGGTGGAACAATATTATAGAGCTATAAGAATTACACACAGAAGAACAATGTGCTAATTTGTATGTGCTATTGAAATCAAGAACGGTTCTGAGCAAATTTCTGTAATTGTTAAAGTGTATAAGATATATATTTGTAAATTCTAAAGTATGTTGAGAGAAGTTTTTATGCAGTGATAGTACTAAAATTTTATTTTGACTCTTTCGTACAATACCACGAGTTTATTTGGTATCCAGACAAATGTAATCTACCTAAAGCACAGGACTACAAAATTACAATTTCTTGCGTATAAGTTGTAAAACCATCCTCATTAATTAAAATATTTTTAAGGATTGAATTTTGTAACCATCTCGTGTAACTAAGACTAGTAGTACTGGAAAATATTTTCTGATTAATACTTCCAATCCAGTCATAATCTACTATAAGAAAACCAGATTACCTTATTCAATCCAACTGATTTCATTATAATGTCAAGCTGTGAAAAAAAACACTATAAAAATATGTTTGGTAATTTAATTCAGTTACCACTTTCGATTGTATAGTATGAATCTGTTGATGACTAACCTATTTTGTGAATGTTAAATTTCCCTACAGGTTAATCAACATTGATTAGATTAGAACTAGCATCCTTCAACTAACAACTCATTTTACTGAGCAACTAATATTTAATTTGAACTACCAAATCAATTTAAAATAGTAATATCGAGGCTATATTTGAACCAGTCTATGAAAAAGAAACATAATTAAGATATCTGTTATAATATTAGCATATATAATAAAAATTCGAAATGTATTACTTGGTGTAGAATTACTTCATCATGACCATAATTCTACATAACACTTCAAAAACTTCTGAGAAAACTGGGGGGAAATCCACGTCATCTAGTTTACTGGCAAATAAATGCTGATTCTTTTGTAAAGAGATAACTGTGATAACTTTTTCTGATTCCTATTTCTTCATTAACATTTGACGTTATTTAATAGGTGATTGTCACTTTCAATTTGTTGAATTCCTCATGCCTCTTAAGGTCGTGTGTTACTGTTATATTTACAGAGTTGTTCCATTTCGAATTGGTTTTATTGAATATGAAGCATCTATTGAACTCTTCACTTCTTCTTGTCTTCTATAGCTTTAGCTATAGTTGTTGAAATATGTGTCGATTGTTCAGTATATCGAGTTTGTTTATATCCAGTTTTACATTAGAACAGCAGTTAAATCATTCGCAAGTGAGAATTACCGTAAATACACATTTACTTTCGAATGGTACCATAAAAAAATTCAATAATTTTTCTTCATATAAAGATAAGAACAACAGCAACATTTTCAGATAACATGAACTGGTTTTATGTCATTGAAATCTGAAACAAAACGCATAAATTTCACAGATAGAATGCAGTTATATAAATGTATTGGAATGTGTCTATCTAATTCATAAAAACAATTACAAGTACTTTTCAAATAATACAAATTTTTTTTAAATAGTAAATAAGTAATATTCCACTTTTCTTATTGATTTTCTTCATGATTCTTCAATGCATAATGCATAACTGTGTGGGTTTAAAAAATTTATATCAAGAAATTTAGCTTCGATCTGACAGAATACAGTTGTTTCGTTTATTTTTCTAAAGAAAGAACCTGAGATATAATTTAAAAATATTCCTTGTCATTTAAATTCTTGTTCTTCATGATAATGTATACTATAAAGGGAGGTAAGTTATGGAGACTCTGAACTGTCTACAGTCCACTTTATGAACTAAATTCATGCAATCATTTAAAACCAAGAAGGTCTGGATAGTTATTTCGTCCTCGTACGAGACCGTTTGATCTCGAGGAGTTGTGGGTACACACAAATGGAGAGTTCTATACTGACACAAAGTATTTTTTTCTAGGTTCCAATAAATGTTTAACTCCAGTCAGTTCATGATGTAAACTATGAAATAATACACACGTTTCTAAACTGATCATAAAATCAATATCAATTAATTGGTAGTAACTTATGTAATACTATTTACATGGTTATTGAAAATAATATTGATCAATTAAGAAATAGTTATTACAAAGCTCAAAGATTTGAGTATCGAACAAATTCAAATAAGATGTTGTTAAATCAGAACAGTACGTAATAATTGGCAATCGCTAATTTTCAAAAACTGGTGGTCAAATAAATAAAAATATTACATGAAATTTGTGAAATTCACAACAGTCAAGACCATAGGGGAATAGAAGAAATAAAGAATCTTTTAAGTCAGATGATCAACAAAGATATGGCACAAGTGCTCCAGGTAAACAGCAAAATGAAGAGGGTCTGAATAATAATAGTATTAGTGATATTTGAAGTCAGGCATGGGATGAGAGAATAAAGATAATGCTATAACTCACGATGTAAATGAAAATGTAAAATGAATGTATCATCACCACTATTACCGACCTCGAGCTGTGCTGCCCAATGTCTTCAAACAGCAGTCGTTGTTGTTATTGTTTGAAAATCGATCTGATAGTCTGCAACTAGTAACACTGCTCAAACTGAAATTCATTGAATTTGTGAATTACAGTCAACTTTCTGTTTGTGCACGCTTAGTTTCATCTAACTTACTCCTACTCAATCAGACTTAACGTTCCGAGCTAGTAATATATTCAACCCAGACCAGTCGATGACTATTCACAGTCTCACAAATTGATTTTTGCTAGAATATTTCTTCTGACTTCAAAATTGTTCACTCAGCTGCTCTATCATATCCAAGCAATGCCTTAAACACATTATTGATAATGTTCTAGTAACCTACTTCTGTATTCTAGTTTCACAGACTATTCACGGACATAATGCAAAAAAAACAACCTGTTACCCATAAGTAGTCAGCTGTTGACCCTCATAACATTAGACTATCGAATGAGTCAGAGGAATGTTGTATCATATGAAGTGAAATTATTTGCTGGTTATGAATGAGTTCCGGTAGTTTCTATTGATTTTAAAAGCTGTATTCTCATGCACTACATTGGATTGATTTGAAATCATTTATATTGACTTAGTATCAGACATTGATTAGGTACTTAAAACTGGAGTTTCTTCTCAACTTACTCTATTTCTGTCATTTTCCACTTATTTCAACCGCCTGAATAAGACTTGAAGGTAGCTACTTTATCGCCAACAGATTATATTTTTCAAATGAGAGAATGAAAAACCTCAAGTACGGACCGATTGTTTTTTCCCTTTACTGTTAGTTTATTTTCCACATAAAAGATATGTTTGAATCGAATTGAATCAATTTTAATTTTATGTTGGATTGATAAACTCAAATTCATAGTAGTCACAATTTTATCATTTAGGATAGGTTTATTTCCTCTCAACGCACTGAAATGTTGTGCCTTTTTAAATGTGCTGTTTTCTTCATATAAGTAGACATTTAATTTATTTAGCTAATGTTTATTACATTAATGTTTGTGATGTTTTAGGAAGTTATTTGCAATTGATGAAGAAAAGTAACTTATTTTGTTTATATTGTTGCTTTTGTTGATCATGTTCACTCTAATAATCGTTGTGTTAATGTTTGAAAACAAATGTCTACTAGCTGACCAATGCTGATAACTGGATAGTTGTTTACTTAGTTACATTTAACACATTCTAAACCGGGGCCAAAAGCCAACTGGATACATTAATTCATTTATTCTAAGTAAATAAAAGCAAGCAGGTCACCTCATTTATGGACAGTAATAAGACTTGAACTTTTTTGGTGATTCATTGGAGCTGTAATGATGGTGACAAAACGGTTAATTTATGATTCATAAATTAAAGTTTTTTATAGCTTATACAATAAAATGGGTTGAAGATTTTTTTTAAAGAAGTATTATGAAAGCAACTGTTTATAAACAATTATAGAAGTCGCAAATAAGTTTCTTCTCGTGGTGAACTATGGAAAGGAAATACCAAAAAGCACATGGGTGTTGTGTGATTATTTTATTCTAATTTTAGGTTTAATAAAGCCAACTACTTCAGATCACACAAAGGATTCAAAGATGGGGCTAATATTTCTTTTGGAAGACAGTCAATAGACTGAAGTTTTCTTAAGATCGTTTACTTCCCCTCATTGCCAAACTGGATAAAATATATCATGTTGACTGTCGTTCTATCTGCTATCAAAATTTATGCAATCAGATAACAGTTTGCTTGAATTGTCTAAATGAAATCATTCTTAAAATCATGAGAGAAATTCGCAATTTGACAAGAACATTCGTCTAAAACATATATTTCATTTCTTTAATATCAATATTTCCCGCTATTATCATCATGATCTAACAGTGATAAACTAACTGGTCAACCAAGTGATACGAAATAAAGTGCATTTGGCTTTGCAATTAATGTAGATGAATAACTAAACTCATCAACATTGTATGAGTACTGGTAGTTTGGTGTACTAAAAGACCAGATTAGTTAGATTATACTGGTTTCACTATCGAGATAATTCTTATCATAAGCATTTTTATCTTATTTCTCAAAACAAAAATACGGTATTTTTTTTAGTTTATTTGGTGAAATGACTTAAGCTAAATGATTTCGGAACACCATGAAGCACTAGGTAATCGCTTGTTCCAGTAAGAGATTCTCTAGTGTTATACAGTTTAGGCCACTTCCGTAATCATACTAAGAGATTTGAAAAGTCGCATAAAATGATTAATTTATACACTACTTAGTTAACACCCAGTAGTTCATATTTGCTACTCAAATCAACTCACAATACATGACTGGCCGTCATCTATGATCGTAACTGCTTTGCCATAGTTCTGTTTCTATTCCTAAATTCTCTTCTCTTATTATCATTTATGTTTACAGATCAGAATTGTTTACGTTTGAATCTCGACTGGAAAAAACACCAAATCAAAATTTATCACTTGCATTTCATTTAGCAACAGCGGAATTCGCCACTCCAAGACTATTAGAACCGGTAGATATGCGTCCTGAGAATATTGATGCTAGATCAACTGCTGTTTATCTCTTAGAACTACGTAAAGCCGTTGAAAGAGACAGGAAACGTCGATCAAGAGGCATTCTAGAAATACAAACATCTGCAATGGTAAGTTAACCAGTCTATCATATATGTTTCTTTTCCGAATTGATGTAACAGTACAATAAACTTATTTATTGTACACGTTTTTTTTCAGTTCATAGTTCCTCCTTCTTTTTTGAGTCAAACGACAAGATATACGAAGGCTCTCGGAAGATTAAAAATATGGCATATCTTCATATTCATTGATTTTCTCATTGAATTATAAAGATTATTATTATTTGGTATATCTTGAAGATACTTTTTATTGAATAGTTCATACTTTTGAGCTTCAGATATGATGTAAGATGTAGCATGATATTAAATTAGTCTCCAGTGCTATAGAATAAACTACCATGGCTGGACGGTATTTTTACAGTTATTACATTTATAATTATTCAAGATAAATTTTAAAATAGAAGGAACTACCAACTTAAAAATTAACAAAATAGACTGAAATATTTGAAGGAAGAAATACATATTTAACAAACAAACAGTTTAATAGAAAGATATTTTTCTGTCGGATCAGTGACGTACTGCTATGAGAATGATACAAATAAATTTAATTCAACATCAGAACATTAACAAAGCACAAATTGAGACAAATATTCATCAGTTCACCTGGTCATATCCATATTTCCTTGGAACAGCTAATGAACTTAGTTTCAGTGATAAATATTAAACAATCCTAATCACTTATTTTCAAAATTCGTAATAAGAAAGGTATTAGAATCCAGTATCAGTCGTTTTGACAAATAGATAACTGTTTATAATTTTTAATTATGTATCGCATATAACGTCTGCAAATAGACTTTTTCAGTGAAACAAGCGTTTTCATCACAAGGGACTTAGAATAATTCAGAAATAAAAATTTAAAACAATTACAAACGATATTAGAACAATCTAATTGTCATTTGGTGTTCAAGACTGAAACGTTTGACAAAATAGTTTATTTCATCAACTACTCATGAGTTAGGATTGGTACACAAGCTGGTTTATTGATAAAAGATTTGGTATGATTATATATAAAGCAGAAGAATAAAATACATTTAAACAGATTTTGTCTTAACAAATTACAGACTCACTTACAAAACCCTACTACTAATATCTCAATTTCAGATAGTTACTCTTCATAATAATAGCGTTCAGTTGGTAGGATGAAATACAAATATGACTCCTGCTTTTATAGATATAAATAGTCATGTTACTATTGTTCCCATGAAATTCTCTGTCTATCATTGTTTCAACTAGGTAGCCAGAAAACTTCTGGCACTACTGGCTTTGACTAACCAAGTGATTTTTATCCTCTTCTATCATTCTACTTTAGCTAAATAAAGCCAGTTCGATTTAATTCTTAATCTGAATCCTTAAAACTATTTAGATTCATGGACAGTCGAATGAAGAACCGAATGTTACCGTTGAAAGTCGATGTTCACCGACATCAACATGTAGTACGTCGGAACCTTCTTGGCTTGATGATGAAATTGAAGGTGGTTCAGATGATGAAACTTGTGATATAAATCGTCTACCTGATCCTGATCATTTTGCTACAGTAATTGAAACTACATTAGCATGGTTACTAGCTATGGAAGAACAATTCGGTCAAAATGATATACAAGAGGATCCACGTAATTTTACCAGTAACAATTATACAATGAATAAAAGTGACCATTTACAATCAGTACATAATGAAGAAGATAAAAATTTCATTCTGCGTCTTCAAAGAGCCAGCCCAAATGAAACAAAATTAATGCATGCGGCAATTTTGAAAAACATTGATGAAGCCAGAAATAAGTTCGAATTACATGAGGTAACTTTTTACAAGTTTCTGATTGGTTACTTGTATGTCTGTGGGATTCTATGATTGAATATCTGAATACATTGTTAAATCGTCTTAAGAATTAATGTTTTTAATTTCATTCTAAAAAAACTGCATCAGTAAAAAATCTAATTTACGACTGAGATTAGGCAACTTGCTATTGACAATCATTGATCAGTCGATCAGCAGATTCATCTAGACCATTATTCATGGATTAAATAACTATATAATGATGTCTATGAATAAAATTTTATTCACTAGGATTAAGGTTTTACAAAGGTTGTCAGTTTAGTCTTAGAGACAAATAATTTAACTCAGCATAATTAGCCTGTTACATCACATAATTCTATAGAAAAATCATAAATTTGTTTTAATCACCAATTCTAACCGCATTTCAGTTGAACGATGGAAACAATTCTCGTCGTATAATAATTGTTTCGGTGGTGGTCTAGCTAAGATCGATTCGTGATTTCAACTGTGAAGATTATTCTAAATTGTGTTTAGTTACTTTTACGATCCACAATTCTTTTGTTCTTCACTGACTTTTCAGGATTTAACTGCCCATTTATCACGTCGTCAAATGGCTGTTGGGCGTTGTCTGCGTCTTGGCAATCGTTTAATAAAAACTCATGAAAACTTAGATAATATTCTGAAAAATAATGAAATGTCAAATCAAAGCGAAGCAAACAGTGATCGAACTAATATTGGTTCTATTGATGAAGAGAATGCTGATAGTGTAGATGATACACAAAGACAACTAATAACACAACAAAAACTTCGTGAATTAGATCCTACTGTCATCCAACGACAAACCGTTCTATTAGCAACAAGATGGAATAATCTTTGTCGTTTAAATACTGCTGTAGGCAAACGTATAACAGCAAGTTTACTTAGACGACAAACTATGCTTTTGAGTGCTATACGTATACAATTAGATAAATTGGAAAATGAACAGTAAGTTTGTATGTTTATTTGAATAAAATGTTAAAAATTCACTAACAAAACAAAACATTAGAGACTTGATTTAAATTACCTTGTGGATAATCGTAGTTATCTATCAATGGATATAAGAGATTACCTCGAGGTAACAATCATACACTGTTAGAACTCAGTAATTTTAAGGCATCATTAGAATTCAATATGATTGAAATAGGCGTAAAATTTCGACTCTTACAATTAATATTATTATGGCAAATTTTCGTAAGTAATTAATAATTATTTGTGAAGCTCAGATGTTTAATCGTTCATGAAGGACAAGTTAGTATTCTAAAAATCGTGCAGTACAAGCAATTTTTATAGTTGTTATATCATTTGGTTGGATTGAAATGGATTTTTATGGATGGTTTCAAATAGTACAATATATGTAGAGCTCTACTAAAAGTCATGTATGTTAGGATTATCAGTAATTAGGTGCAGTTCCTAAACCTTTCGCATACTTTCGTATAAATTTAATTTTGGACGACTACTAATGTAGAAATACAGATTCATACGAGTTTTCAAAACACGAAGAGGGTCGTATTTTTAAAAAGAATTCCCCAGTAATCCGAATTTATTACATTAATGTATAGTCAAATTATAAAACACACTACGGTATCTATTTGCCATCTTGATAAAGTGATGACAAACTACTGATACTCTTTGTTAGTAGGTAAAAAGATATAAGTTCAATTTAGTTGGATCGATTGTTCGTTCGGAAATGATTTATTTAATAGATTATTGGTCGCGAATTTTCAGCAGAATAATTTTTTTTATTAAAAAAACACATTTAGAACAGCCCAATCCAATCAACAAGTTGGTCCATCAATTGCTGATGTAAAAAAACAATTAGAAGCAAATCGATATTTAGAACAATTAATTGAGTCTGGTGAAGCATTAGCAGAACGTTTAGATAATTTCATAACTATTGTTCCAAAGAAGATATCAGATGACGAAGAGAAATCTGTGAATGAACGTGGTGTAGAAAACATAATTGCTGAACTAGCTACACGTTGGAGTCGTTTAGTACGTTGGGTAAATACACGTTATGCCTGTTTACAAAATGCTTTGCTATACTGGAGACATTTTGAAGAAGAAGCAAATGTCTTATCTGATTGGTTAGATGAACGTACAGATGAAGTGAATAAAGTGGTTGCCAACTTGGTCCCATCAGTGTTGAATAACCATTCGAATAATTTCTCAACAATTTCACATTCAAGACATAATTCTTTTGGTAATGATACTGACTTGAATGAACAAAAATTAACTAATTATAAATTACTGGAAAGAGCTGGATCGACTGGCAGTTCTGTTATGCAAACACAAGATAGCATGGAACGAATTACTGCTTCAAAAGATAACTTAAATCGTGATGGTCTACAACAAGTGTTTTTAAATCAAAGCGATGCAGAAATGGAAGCTATCGATGTAAGCCTGTGTAACCATAAATATTTTTATTGATAGTCTCAAAGAATAAAAAAAAAGGAGCATTATAATATTTAATAAATAGAGTTTGAAAATACTTTTCATTCATTAAACTAAGAATGAAAATTACGTTGACATGGTCGATGGAAATTGAATGCGATAAGTGAAATGAACTTGCTCTGAATGACAACAAATAGGATGTCTTTCTTTTCTTTAACGCTCTTCAGAACTTTCGGAGTTGAAAATTATCCTAAATACAAAAAATCGACCTGTGCGTGCAAAGAATTAATAATTTGGGAAAATATTGCTTTTTACATGAACTTTCAGCTCATTAAACGCTACAGTAAATTGATTAGACATCTAGTGAGAGTCGGATCAATAGGAGAATAAATTATTCATTAGGCCTCTTCTAACCATGAAACAGTTTGAACCAACATCTGAAGGAGAGGAATGACTTATAATATTGTTTTATTTTTTTTCAGTTGTTTCCTATTGTTATGTCTCCCTGAGCTCCTCTCTCAATCACTCTTAATTCTTAATACAACTTTGAAATAAAAATTGAAATATATTTTCATGCGATCAGTTCCCTTGATAAGAACAAGAAACTTTGTAGAATAACGTAACTTTATTCTGTTTCTTATTTTCTCGGAATCCACCATAAACTCACTGATTGAAAGAAATAAACGAAATGTTTTTACCAATGTAATTTTTTGTGTAACGTGAGTACAATTATTAAGTACACTAGTGAAAAATTACTATAATTTACTATAAACAAGCTTGTTTCTTATACAGGACTACGTCATGGTATCTCTGTTCCATCTTTTCTGTTCATCGATAAATTGAATTTGTATTATTTCTCATTAGTAAACTAAATGACTTCATACATGGTACACAGAAAATTACATTTTTTCTTAAATTTACTCATTTATTTATACAAATTAGTGAGTAGGCAAAAGATCTAAAGTAAATGAAATGAAATGTATTCACTTCACATCCCACAATGTTTATTGTATCTGTTTTAAAGAAAAAAAGATAATGAAATTCTTGCGAACCATTGTTTGATTAGAATTTTCTCAAAAAAGAAATATATATTTTGGTAAATTCTTTAACTCTATCCAATTTATGACTTTCACAAGTTACAGCAACTCTTCTCATTGTCTTAGATAATATCTACTTGTGGATTGCATGACGTCGAAATATCTCAGAATATATCATTTATTCATTCATTAGTGTTCATATATTAATAATATAAGATAGATTAACGCATTAGACATGAATCAGTTAATTTTGCATTTTAATCTTTAATCAGAATAAGAGGTTTGTATGCATACATGTGAGTGTAATTCATATTATTATGTGAGTATAAAATGCAGAGTATCTTAAATGATAACACTTAGTAATGAAAGTCATTATTCAAGTGCCTACTTGTTAACTAGTTAAAATCTATGAGACAAAAATAATTTCTTTTCAGAAAAAAAAACAAACAAACAATTCACCATACTGATCGGGTTAATTATCAAGTGTTGTTGTATTAATTTACCAGGTTGCTTCAGCTAAAAGTTTTTACATCATCCATTCAAACAATTTTCTCTGAGTTTATATTTGAAAAGCTAATTTTGAGACTTTCATAAACTTTGAAATGTAAACTGAATGGCATTTTTTTTATTTTTTTTCTTAAATTAGTTCTTAATAATTTTCATGGCGAAATGCATATGATAATGAACAAAATTGTAGGGCGATTAACTAACTATCTGTTTTATTGGTTTATTTTCTAACATGCTCGTTCTCGTTTAAACCTTTGATACCTTTGGTTTTACAGTAACAACTCAGTAGTTATACAATTATATCGATTGAACATCTATTCATGCACAGAGTTTTAAACAGACCGATGAATTTGAGCTATTTTTCCTGTCAAGAGGCTATTTTCTTTCGCTTCCTCTTTAGAGACAGTCAATGGCTTCTTCGTTTAGTCACGTCCAGAAACCGTATTTCTTTCAAAATGAAACGTTACACATTTAGCAAGTACAGGTTTATGTACTTCATTTTTCAACCATGTGAAGAGCGATACTACTACTTGCTTCCTTAAACCCAAATTGGTGGAGTGAGGTTTAAACCCTGTTTTTTACTGGTTGAGGGATGAACATTCAGTAACGAAGCCACAAAGCTTCATTCATTGACACAACGTTTGAATCATAAGTGAAAAAAGTTTGAATGGAATCTGGATATGCTACATACCATTGTTATGTGTGTAATACAAGTTATAATTCTCTGATCGAAGGCCTTTCTGTTAAACAGTACAATGGCTAGTAATATTAGTGTTTTAGTGTGCTCATATTAATATAAATTTTGCTGATCAAACATCGGATGAGACACTTTTCAGTCAAAATAATTAAATGAAGCAGTGTGTAGGGCGGAATAAGTATTATTTATTTGACCATTCTCGTATCAGAATGGCATTAATCACTAATACAAATGACCTCAATAAACTTTATCGCGTTTTTCGTAAATCGAAAAAGTCATCGTAAATGAATAGTTTATATAGAAAACAATAATATTACTAAGGTATGTGGATTTCACATGAGTAATGGATTCCTTAACATTTGGTATAGGGTTGTCCGTCAGCAAATCAAATTAAAAGAATGATCTATAAACTTGTCTGTGTAACTGCATGACAACCATCCTCATAGTTATGGGATTAGCTTTACTGATTAAGGTTTAGGATTAAGATTTCGGTTTATTGATAAGGTTGACTTAGGTCTTGTTTTCAATCTGTAAAGAATGGAGTAATATTCGACAAAATTAACAGCACCATTTTTAGACTATGATGAAAAAAATGAAGTCTTCTGTAATTATATTTAACGTACTAATCATCATACGAGGATCTTTCTACTGCACTGTTTGTGTCACATAAGATTAGTTCATTCATTTCTGAATTTCGTCCACAAATTGAATAATCCTTTTGTTGATTCTGTTCGTTCATTATAGAGTTATGGAGATTATCTAGTTTCATTAAAATTATGAGTCGATCATTGTTAGACCACCATTAGGGACCTGGAAGCACTGATGAGTCCTATACTAGGACGAAACGGTTATTCGGTGCTTATAGGTTTCTGATAATGGTCTAACGATGATCGATTCATAGTTTCAATGATTCTATTTGATTTGACCCTATTACAATTGCAGTGTTGGAAATGGATATTAGCTAAATATTTTACTATATAAATAAAGATCAAACTCTCTTGATCAAGTGGTACTTCTCGTTAGATTTGTCAATGAATATCCTGAAGGTTAAGTACAGTGTATTGTGATTTATAATTGCTTTGTCCCGTTGTAGCGTTAAAAATCGATAGGTAAACATTGGATAGGGACTAAGGGCAATACCAAGTTAGATAATCTTGGAGAATTATCGTTACCAAGTTCTCATTGGAGTTCTAATATTAGAGCATGTAAAGAATTATCTTTTATTTTTCAACCCATAAACCATGCACTACTAACATTTAAATACAAGTAGCCGTCACATAGGCATATTTGACTATTTTTCCTCTATCAAAACTGCTCAAATATTTGTTTTGTTTATCATGTTATTGATTGATTACTTTCACTATTGATCAAACTAAACTAGTAAGAGTTAAAGAGAATAAGTTATTCAGTCCTTTGTAGCACAGAAAAAAATAACCTTTAACCTACTATTTATTTAGATGATTGATTTGTTGTTCTGTAGAGAAAAATTTAGGATTCAACTCAATCTCATTCAAGTTGTGTGATAAATAATCTAATACATTGTGCATTTATACCGAAGCTGTGTGATGAATAGACACACTATATATTTAGGTACCCGTCTGCTTGTCTGTATGTCGTTCTATTGAGACAATAACTAAACAAGCAATAGACAAATCAACTGTAGAATTCCTGATACAAAATAAAATGAGAACCGCGAATCAATAACTTATATGTGCACTTTGATGCATTTTTGTCTATGCGTAAGATACATGAGTTGGTGTGTCTGTGTTCAGTAGTGTGTGCAGCACCAATGGCTTGGATGATGACGTTAGTGACAGAATGTTTGTTAATTGGTATTTCTCATAGAAAGATTTGAATTATTGTAAGATAGCGATTCACAAATACCGATAACTTTTTTTGGATTAGTGGATGTATAAAAGACGTAAATACTATTGTTTTTTTTTAAAACTTATATACTAACACGTGAATTGACAAGTTTTCACGTTTTTCTGTCTATCGCCCAATGTTTTATTCAATGCATGAATTGGTTTTATCAGTTCATTCCTGTGCTTATGTATAACACAAAATCCATTAAATTCAAAACATAATATTCATTGATAATTGAACCTGTTAGAAACTATTGAACAACTTACCTTTAATTAATAATTTAATTTATCAAACAATCATTCCATTATCTAAATTGAAAATATACACTTTTTTGAATTATTATCTGACTAGAATATGGATCTATTTTATATATCATTATTAAAACAAGAGCGAGATTATTGCTAACAGTGGAATTTACTTCATATACACTTAAATTCTAAAAGTAAGTAGGATATTTGATAGACTATATTTCAAAGTGAATTTAAATACGTCAAGTTAATGTAATATCTAAGAATTTCCTGCATTTTGTTGGATTCGAACACATATTTATCAGTCCACAATATGAAACTGTAGATCCAACGATCATTAAAATACCTCATACTATAAAATCACCATGTGTTTACTTTAGGAAGTAACCTTGAGAGGAGATAAAAGTTTTTCTGAACAACCAATATATGACCAGGAGAGCTATACGACAGCCGGAAAGTATTAAATGAAACATGATATATAAAAAGAGTAAAAGACATTGGTGAAGACCGATTGACAGAGAAGTATTTGTTCTTAAACCAAAGTTTTTCATATGTAGATGACTAACACGACCTCATCACACTCCTGCCAGCTATTCGGTACATGATATTGCTCTACTTGGATTATGATTTATGTAACTAAACAGCCAA